TGTGAGCCGTGAATGGTCAATATTTGTTCGCGTGAAATGTGAAATGCTTGATTTTAGTGTCGTGAAATGTGATTTGTTCTACAGCCGTGAGGCGTGATTGTCGATATGAGAATTAAAGTGTCTGTTTCGTGAACTGTGATTTTGCTTTGTTTATTACGATTAGTATTTCGTAATCAGTCATAATAGACATGATACGCGATAATCAATTTATATGATAGGCTCAGATTCCAGCCGTTGTGTTCTCGCCACTCGCCCACTTGGGCGAGTGGCGAGAACACAACGGCTGGAATCTGAGCCTATTTATATGATCGATCTCACTCGATTGCACAAGAGTAAAAACTTCGGAGGCCATTCGGTGGTCGTCGAACATACTCGTCACTCAAACTTTTTAAGTTATGATGTAGTTTTTAACTGCCAGGCAGAGAAGTGAGAGAACCGGCTTAAAGCGTAGATACTGTACCACGCATTAAACATAAATAAACCTATTATTATTATATTATTTTATTAGAATCTAGTTTTCCGTGAAATTGCATTTTTAAGACACGTGAATCGTGAAACGGCTTTTTTTTTCGTTGTGAAACGTGATCATACCCCCCCTTTCCCACCCTCTTGAAACCACCAAATGATCATAAATGATCATCAAAAACATTGAAGTTTCTCGGTAAAAACATTGAACTTTGTCATGAGAATAGACAATTATACTTTACTGCGACCGTTCATCCTTAGTGCATTCAGTAAATGTGTCCGCCTTTTACAAATTCCAGCCCGCGATTTGTAAAACACGGACTCAGTCCGCGTTTTACAAATCTTAGTTCGCGATTTGTAAAACACGGACTCAGTCCGTGTTTTCCCGGTCCAGTCCAGTCCAGTCCGTGTTTTACAAATTCAGTCCGCGATTTGTAAAACACGGACTCAGTCCGCGTTTTCCCGGTCCAGTCCAGTCCAGTCTGGTCCAGTCCAGTTCAGTCCAGTCCAGTCCGTCTTTTACAACATGCCGAGTTCAAATCCGAAAAGTTCCCGCTCTAATTAAAGACCTGCAGTTTTCTCACAAACTGCAATTTTATCTTCACTAATTTCACGACAAATTTTTTCATTGTTCAACGACACGGATTGATGACGACAAACGATTATATCACTCAAAAGGTCAAATTTCTATTAACCATGCAGTCTTACTTTTAACAAGAGGCCAGTTTTGCTCGAATTATTTCGAGTTATGTTATAATATGCGTGTTGGACGTAAACAACATATATTGTCTACAACTTGGGGAAGGTACAGATAAAGCTTTCTAAAATCCTCAGTTCTGGCTCTATCTCTATAAAATTACAAGCCAAGGACGTCTTTTGGCTATGTCTCTTGGCTGAGAAATAATTCCTTACATGCGATCAAAATGTTTTATACAACGATTTAAAACTGTAATGTTATGTATTGGGTTAGCATTTAAATTTCCAACACAGTTTTTGAGACGTAATTCAAGAGGTAACTTGTCATTGCATTTGAACTATTATATCAGTTGGTGTTATTCTGTGCGATTAGCGAATATTATTGGAAAGAGGACTTTCATATACGTTGAAATCACCATCGTCGTAAGTTTACAGAGCATACTTTACACTTTGGCACTGATCTTTGTCTTTGATGTGAACATTTATTCTTCTAGATCTAGTTTAAGATTATTTAATTAAGAGTGATCCTATAATAGTTTTGTTTGTGGAAACACCACGTAAATTTATTACTGCAAAGCTTTCGATCCGTAAGCCCGGATCTTCATCAGTGCTAATAATATGTGACTTGTTTAATTCACACGCCCTTTTTATATGCAAAAGTGTCTTGATTTGTTGGCTCGCGTCATCATAGGTAGCCCAACAATCAGTGGTATTAATTCATTTCTGTTCAATAAAATCATACTACTACTCAGTCGCAGACTGCATTGTTTACACGCGGTCAGATCATGTACGTATCTCTATAGTAATATATGCTAAGGTTGGCAGCTAAATTCCTATATACGCACGTAGCCCTGGAGAAATAGCACAAAAACTTTAAAACACGCAATAAAACACAAACTAAACAACATAAAAGTAAGCTCAGATACTTTCACTAAACTGCCAGTCAATTTTTTGTCGAAAATAACATCGAAAATAACGAAAAATAAGCACAGTTTTTTTTATCAATTTTGTTGAATTTTCTCTGTGAATGTGCGGGGTGCAAGTTACCTGATACTGGTATTTTTTTTAATGACGACTGCGAGATTTCATTGGCTTTGAACATTTACGTCAATCACAGGAAAATCCATTTCAGGGGGTGGGGGTTGTTGAGTGTTTTTCATGCACGGAGCTGTATAAAAAAGCAAAGAGAAATATTTTTAAAACAGGATTACCGGGCGAAGAAAGACAAGAAATTACATCTGCGATAATATTAAAAGTTTGCAATTATAGAAAGCCAGAACTTCCAACATTATACTTGCTTCAGTCAGTATAAAGATATAATTTTGATGCCGTTTCAGCCGAGGCAAACTTTCCCAAAATAGTTCCCCTTCGAAATGCAGCGAAAACAAAACAAAACCTTGCTGCTTCAAATAAGGAACAAATTAATAACAATATGGTGAGTAAAATTATATTTTTACGTTTCAAAAACTGTATTAAATGCTTTTTGCTTGGTGTTTTCTGTTTCTTTCTCGGTTTGCATGTCATAAAATTACTGTAAAAAGTATAATTCGACAACATGCAAGAATGATCTTATTCTTAGTTTGCAAAATGTAAGACATTAAAAATTATTTGAAGCAACAAGGTTTTGTTTTGTTTTCGCTGCATTTCAAAGGGAAACTATAAGTTTTCCTCGGCTGAAACGGCCCAAAATTATATCTTTATACTGACTGAAGCAAGTATAATGTTGGAAGTTCTGGCTTTCTATAATTGCAAGCTTTTAATATTATCGCAGATGTAATTTCTTGTCTTTCTTCGCCCGGTAATCCTGTTTTAAAAATATTTCTCTTTGCTTTTTATAGTTCCGTGTATGAAAAACACCCAACAACCCCCCCCCTCCCTGAAATGGATTTTCCTGTGATTGACGTAAATGTTCAAAGCCAACGAAATCTCGCAGTCGTCATTCAAAAAAACTACCAGTAGGGGCAACTTGCATTCCGCATAGTCACAGCGAAAATTCAACAAAATTGATAAAAAAAACTGTTCTTATTTTTCGTTATTCTCGATGTTATTTTTGACAAAAAATTGACTGGCAGTTTAGTGAAAGTATCTGAGCTTACTTTTATGTTGTTTAGTTTGTGTTTTATTGCGTGTTTTTAAATTTTTTGTGCTATTTCTCCAGGGCTACGTGCGTATATAGGAATTTAGCTGCCAACCTTAGCATGCTATAGAGATACGTACATGATCTGACTGCGCGTAAACAATGCAGTCGGGGACTGAGTAGTAGTATGATTTTATTGAACAGAAATGAGTTACCACTGATTGTTGGGCTACCTATATGGCGTCATTTAAAATTTAATTAAACGGCACATCAACCACGTCATTTCAAACGTAGTGAAATGATTCCAATTAACGCGCGCGCATCCAAGACAAGATAAATTAATTTTGCACATTAAAGAGAGCACGCCACGTACTATCTAGTGGCTTTCCCTCCTGATCTATAGTATTGTGCTTCTCGATTTTAATTGACTCTCTCATCTTGCGAGAGAACTTATGAGTATCCATCGCCAAAATGGTTGCCTCGTCCCATTTTATACGATGGTCGTAAGTCCAAGTATGTTTAGCCACAGCAGATTTATCTCGCTCGGCTTTCTCGCAATTCGTTTTGTGTTTTTTAAGACGTATACTGAGAGATTTCGACCAGTTTCACCAATGTAAACCAGACCACCTTCACAAGGAATGCGGTACACACCAGGTTTCTGAGATTAATTTACGTTGTCTTTATGTGTGCAAAGAGCGCGAAACAATTTGTTTTTGCTGGAATGGTAGTATACCTTTATACCTGCTTCATTCCTCAAAATCCTTTCGATTTTGTGCGAAGCCGGACCAATGTATGGTAGACAAACTGACGACTGATATTCAATCTTTTGGTGTATACTTTGTGGTGTTTTCATAGCATTATCTATGAAATTCCGTGGGTAACCATTCATTTTTAGAACATTTCTTAAATGTTCTAATTCATCGTCAATGTTACTTACCTCACAAATTGTTTTCGCTCGGTTGATGAGTGTCTTACACACAGAGTTTTTAATACTAGGATGATGAAATGAATTATAATGCAGATACCTGTCTGTGTGTGTTGGATTCCTATAAACGTTATGTCCTATAGCGATCCATCATCATGTATAGTGAACAGAACATCTAAGAATGGTATAGTTTTATCATCCTTCTGTACTTCAAAAGTAAACTTGATCGATGGATGCAAACTATTAATGTGGTCTAGAAACTTTTTTAAATTATCTAGCCCATGAGACCAGCTACTCAATATATCATCCACGTATCTGAACCAGGAAGCAGGTTTTAACTTTGCAGTAGCTAAGGCCTTCTTTTCAAATTCCTCCATGAACAAATTAGCCATAACAGGCGACAATGGACTTCCCATTGGAGCGCCGTTTGTTTGTTCAATGACGCGATCCAACAGATCACGACACTTTTGTATATAAAAAAGGGCGTGTGAATTAAACAAGTCACATAATTATTATTAGCACTGATGAAGATCCGGGCTTACGGGTCGAAAGCTTTGCAGTAATAGATATACGTGGTGTTTCTACAAACAAAACTATTATATATTTATCGCCATGCAAAGAACTTAAGAGTGATCCTGTTGAAAATCTTTTACCAGTGTAAATTTGTATATTGTATTACTCCCGAACACATGTACAATCCCAGTCTTAGTCTCGATAGTTAATTATTATCCCGAAGGTCCATGCCTTATAGCCTGCAAGCAGGCTTGCTATTTACGAGTATCTATTTCAATGTAACTATAAATGTCAATATATCACACCACTCCCCCTTTAAAAGTATTATGTGTATCTTTTTGGAGGTCTTCGTATTGTTTCTGGATATTTTCTCTCTAGTTGCATTTCCTCTTCTCTGCTGTCAGATTCACTGTCCTCACTGGTATCCAGTGCTGGGTGTCCGACCCCATTCTTCTCCGGTGGGTTCCTTGACTTTGGTTTCTTGACAGGTTGAATCTGATAAGGTTTAAGGTAATTGTAATAGACAATTTCTTCTTTAGTTCCATTATTCCTTCTTACTACATAAGATGTTTTGGTTTCCAACGTGGGCTTTACCACGACATAGGGTCCCGTCCACCGATCTGCAAATGTTTTTGCCCGTAAATTTCTTTTCCAAACTTGTTGACCCACCCCCAACGATTTAAACGAAGTTTTACTGTTGTACCGTTCTCTGCGTTTTTCCGTTAACTTGGCATCGGACTCTTGTGCTTTTTGGAATACCTCACTAACGGTCTCGCGCAGTCGTTCCGTTTTCTCTCTAACCGTTGCTGGTGATACAGTATCTTCTCTGTTCTAATTTCGAATTTTGATCGCGGGTGCTTCCTAAAAACTAGTTCGTACGGCGAAACGCCTGTATTTGTATGAACTGCTGTGTTGTGTGCTAGTTGTATGTCAGGTAGGTGTTAAGAAGTGCTTCCCCCATCGTACGATTCATCCGTTCTACACTCGCGTTTCCTTGTGGCCTATAGGGTGGACTGAATGTATGCTCAATGCCTTGGGTTATGCAAAAATGTTCAAATGTTTCGCTTATGAAGCAAGGTCCATTGTCAGAGTGCACTTTGTTTGGTAAACCATATCTTGATATCCAACCCATGAGTATCTTACAAACATCTTGGCTAGTTTGTCCTCGAATTGGATGCATCTCTGCATATTTTGTACATGGATCTGTTATCACAACAATATTGTTAAATCCCTCTTTTGTTCTCGGAAATGGACCCTTGAGATCTACTTCTATCAACGCAAATGGTTTCTCTTCTTTTGGGCAAGAGTAGCAGCGCAGCGTTTACACGTTTTTGCATAGTTCTCTACTTCTGCTTTCATCTTTGGCCACCAATAATGAGGTTCAATTCTTGCATGCATTTTATCTGCTCCTTGGTGCCCTGTTTCCTCATGAGCTAATGATAATATGGTGGAAACAAGCAGTGCTGGAAGTAACACTTGCTTCTTATGATCTCGTGTGAATAAACCATGTTAGTTTCGGTGAGTGGAAATATGTGGCTTAAGGGTTGGGTCACGTTCTTGCTACAATTGGAAATCATTTATGTCCAACCTTACATCCTTGCATAGACCAATCTCGTCTTGAGAGCCCCAATAGTAGCCACTTTATTAGTATCCTCATCTCTCTCTTCCCACTTGACATTCCATCCGATCCGACTAAGAGCATCTGCCATGTGATTACCTGGCCTCGAATAATCTCTATGCGTGGTTCGAATTCTGCTATATCTCTCATCAATGTCGCTCTTCGTCCAAAAGGATCTTTCTGTTCCAGGATCTTTAGAAGAGGTTTGTGGTCGGTCCTCATCACTACTTGTGCTCCTAACAGATAATACCGAAAATGCTTAAGCGTGTCCCGCATAGCCATCACTTCCCTGTCATAAGTAGGATATGAACGTTCTCGTTTGGTCAATGCACGACTGAGATATGCAACCGGATGTAATTGTCCTTGTGCATCTTCTTGTGATAGTTCACCACCCAGACCCACTTTACTTGATGGGCTAATACTGGAGCTTTAACCAACTCATGTCTTAGTGTACTGGATGCATCATCTTGCTCCTTACGCAAGTGAATGTGACATCTTTCTCCAAAAGCCATGTTAATGGTCGAGCAATTGTACTAAAATCCTTGATAAACTTCCGATACCACCCAACTGCACCCAAAAACATTTGCACCTCTTTAAGACAATGGTGCAACCCATGCACAAATTGCCTTTAATTTATGTTCCTCTGGCTGCACACTCTTGTTGCAAACTTTCGCTCGTATTCTAAAAGATCACTCACACTCAATGAGTGGAGGTTCAATCTGTGCTTCTCTTGAGTGTCAGTGCTGTTTTTGAATAGCTGCAGGGTTAGTATCGTACCATACTCTGTGACTACTAACCATCCAGTTATTCAAAAACAGCAATGGCACTCAAGAGAAGCTCAGATTGAACCTCCATTCATTGAGTGTGTCCAAGAAATTTCACTTCTTTCATTGCGAAAGCAGATTTCTTAGCATTAATTCGTAATCCATGCTGTCGCAATGCATCAAATACTCCCTGGAGATTAACCAAATGTTCCTCAAACGTTTTGCTAATAATACAGATATCGTCCATGCACAATGCCAACCGATGTGTCCTAGAACCTTCTGCATCAACCGAGAAAAAGTTGCCGGACTTCCTTTTAATACCATACGGCATTCTTGTCCATTCCCAAAACCCAGTAGGCGATCGAAACGCTGTCTTTGGTCGATCTTCCTTGGCCAGTGGGACCTGAAAATAACCTTGGGCCAAATCAATAACACTAAAATACATGTAGTTAACATCTGATAGATTGTCTAGAACCTCTTGCAAATTTCCAGTTGGATATGGGTCATTCTGAGTAATTTTGTTACGTGGTCGGTAGTCTACACACAATCGAACTGTTTTATCTGGTTTTAATACAGGTACAATTGGAAATGCCCAAGGGGTCGACTTAGAGGGTGTCAAATGTCCCGACTTTACATGGTTTCCTACTGCTTCATTAATTTTTTGAGTTAACCCCAGGTTGTGTCTTCTGGGTGGCACACAATTGGATCAGATACGGCTGTGGGTATCGTGTGGTCTATTGTTGCGGTTCACACCCACTATTTCCTGGGTAGTCGAAAACTTGCGTATTTTTTCGAATTAAACCTTCTAATTTTTCTCTTTGTTGTGTTGTCAATTGTTCACCGACTGATACTTCTGGGACTGGGTCATATTGTGATGATGGATTATTTCCATATTTGACTCTGAAATATGTACTATGTTGTGGGTACTTGGCAGTTCCTGAATTGTGGCCGCAGTTTGTTCTCTATAAACTCTGATTGATTTATCAGTAGTATTCAGTATGCATATGGAGATTTTATTTTCATCGTCCATCATTTCTGCCGAAATCTTTATCGGGGGTTGTAAGAAGCCCAGTTCTCTGCTGAAAATGTTCCGTTCTTCAATGTATGAATCTCTAGTAAATTTTTCATTCTTATCTTCCAATTTACCCCAAATGAATATTTCTTCAAATGGCTTAATATCATGACTTTCCGCAACTCGTATGTGGCAACACTGTAGCATTTCCTGAGGGGTATCTACTTCCGGTTGTAACAAGGGTTGGGACCCATCTATTGTTGCCAATTTTTTTCTTGTGTTTCGCATCTACGCCAACCGGGGAGACGCTACTTTGTTTGAAGCAAATCACATTGAAATACCCAAATCTGTTTTCTCTTTCTGCACTAATACTTTATTTTGTAAATAGTCAACTATATTAATCAAGCAAAATTACAGCTATTACAACAACTCAGATATACTGACAATTGAAGGTTGCAGCAAGACTGACTTACAATTCGTGAGGCATAATCTGAGTATCCTTGCCTTTTCCTAAGTTATTATTTTTAAGTTTTTTGTTCACTGTATTTAACATAACAAGTTCGTTTTTTTAGTTTCTTTCTTTCCAATTCCGCGAAGCTTCCTCGCCGTTTCACTTCCTCCGTCCCACTCCCCTCTCAACACCGGCGATCGCAATATCTTAACACTCTCCCCCAGTGCGGAAATTAAATCTCTAATTGAGCAACGTCTAACACAATATACTGAAAATACTTTCTTCAATGTGATTAGAAGCGAACTTTCTATAAGCCTCATTTCAATGTAATAATTTTCTTTTTAGTAACGACCAGAAGGCTTTTTTAAAAAAATTTAATAAATTGTAACAACGTTTCGGAGTTTACTCCATCATCAGGTTACATTTATACGCACCAAAAAACCGTTAAAGCATGCGACCGTTATTAGCTCGCGCCAATGCGCTTGCGTAAACATATAATTGACGTGTCCGAGAATTTAAATATATCTCAATTAGATAAATTAGAACTAAGTGTTTTAACGAGCGTGTCCGAAAATAGTATATAAATCCTTACACTAGAAAATTTGCCACGCTAAGCTGTTCGTATTTATTGTTCAAGTCTGGTTTTAGCTTCTGGATGAATAATGCTTCTGTGATCTTTCGGTCCAATGAGCCACTTGTTTTTTCCAGAATTTTCACAGTTAACTTTGGTTCCTGTCCAGGGTGGCACTCGATATAGTGTCTGGAAAAAGCCATGTTCTTATATGATGGTGCTGTGGGATTAGCTGCGGAGCGGTAGTGTTCTTTATAACGGACGACTAAAGGTCTACTGGTTTCACCAACATAGCCTCGTCCACACAGATCGCAGTTAATTAAATAGACGACGTCTTTCTGCGAGCACTGCACGGGAATAGATGAGTTGTGGCAAATAGGGCATTTGGAAACGTCTTTGCACGACTTATCGTGGGGTCTTGACTCGACAAGGAGGTCCTTCAGGGGGCTTTGGGGTCGTTGAATTATTCGTACGTTTAGGTTAGAACGTTTAACCGCTCTTTTGATGTCGTTCGTGAAGCCACTTGACACATACGGGATAGTCAGCGTGGGGAGGGATTCTTTCTGTTTCTGTGTTGTTTTCTTTCTCTGCTTGACTCGATCAACGTAGCTGTTATCATAACCGTTCCGTATAGCTCTTCTTTTGAACGTCTGCTCAGCTTCTTCGAGTAAGGCGTCACTCGAACATATCGCGGTGTAAGTGTTGATGGTGTTACTTATGAAGGCTTGTTTCATATGTTCTGGGTGATGGGATCTTTCATTCAACATCAGACCTTTATTGGCAGGTTTTGTGTACCACCCCGTTTCGATGCATCCAGATTCGTTCACTTTGATCTTAGTGTTCAGGAATGGAAGGAAGCCATCTACGTCCGGTAATTCAATCTCAAAACGGATTGCAGGGTCTTGGGAGTTTAACTTGTTTTGGATAAACGCGGCTTCTTCCGGATTGCTAGCTGGTGTGATGCAGTCGTCAATATATCGGTAGTAGAGGGAGACAGAAAGGGATAGGTCAGAGTAGATTGCTTTTTCCAGACACTATATCGAGTGCCACCCTGGACAGGAACCAAAGTTAACTGTGAAAACAAGTGGCTCATTGGACCGAAAGATCACAGAAGCATTATTCATCCAGAAGCTAAAACCAGACTTGAACAATAAATACGAACAGCTTAGCGTAGCAAATTTTCTAGTGTAAGGATTTATATACTATTTTCGGACACGCTCGTTAAAACACTTAGTTCTAATTTATCTAATTGAGATATATTTAAATTCTCGGACACGTCAATTATATGTTTACGCAAGCGCATACGCGCGAGCTAATAACGGTCGCATGCTTTAACGTTTTTTTAGTGCGTATAAATGTAACCTGATGATGGAGTAAACTCCGAAACGTTGTTACAATTTATTAAATTTTTTTTAAAAAAGCCTTCTGGTCGTTACTAAAAAAAAAAAAAAAAAAAAAAAAAAAAAAATACTTTAGGAATGCAAAGAATCCATTGTCACTACAATCATTCTGTTCTAGTTATACTAGTCTGCATCAAGTTCTTCTCTGGTGGCTATAAGACACAGCTTGTGGATGGGTCTGTCATATTCTCCTGTTTGCG